ATTAAAGTCCCTAATTTGTAGCTTAGCTGGAGTCGTTGTGGGCAGAATGAGATAGATAGATAGATAGATAGATAGATAGATAGATCGACCAATCTCAGGGTTTGTGCAGACTAGTGTTCCATGGGATACCAGTACTGAAAAGATACCATGGTATCACATTTTTGAAAGCTGTTCTGTATTACATTTCTTTAGTACCAGCACTAATAACAATTTTACAGACATCGCTAATGCTATATTGTTTATGCTAACCATCAAATCAGAAGAATAACTCAATATGTCTGAACAACTGCTGAAACTCAATTGTACCCTATTTCAGAACTGCACGTCACCTACTTAAATATGATCTCCCTAGCTTCAAGTCAGTGATTTATGTGATTGATCTTATAATATAGCAAAATCTAATAATATAGTAAATAGGCTATGTTGACAAATGACGTATATTTATTAGACCTGCTATTATGTGAGTGCAAGTGCAACAACTTGGTCGCCATATTGGAAAAGTCGAAGCAATTGTTCAACTGTACAGCTTTCGGCCGCAGAGAAATACTGAGAAATACTGGTAATGTGTGATTGGGTGCAGGTTTCTAAATCGGGGAAAAATAATTTGTTCAGGTTGGTAGCATATGGGTGATTTAAGAGTATATATGGATTCAGATGGCATCAGAGCATATAGATTTATACATATAGGGCTCTGGAAAAAATTAAGAGACCACAATAAAATTTTCTGTTTCATTCATTTCTCAATTTACGGGTATGATTCTGTGTAAAATATGTATTTGTTGGAAACTCCAGCCTGGCTCATTCCTGCTTCTCATTGATGAAGGGCTTCTTCCTTGCTTTATGGGTCTTCAGTCCTGCTTCTAGGAGCCAGTTATGAACTGTCCTAGCAGTGCACTTCACACCACTTAATGTTTCCCATTATTTTTGAAGGTCACTTTGAGGTCATCCTCCGATTTATGAGGCAGTGCTGAATAAATTGACAGTCATCTCTGGCATTAGAAAGTTACTTCTGCCCTCTACCTGGCTGGTTTTTGCTCATTTGCTCATTCACTTTATTCTTGTGTACTGCTGTCTTAGAAACTTTGAAGCTGGAAGCTCAGCGTAGCCTTCTATCAGCAGAACCACCATTAATCCAGTATTTAAAAATTCAGAATTGTTTAAAAATAGAGTGGTCTCATTTTTTCCCATGGCTGTATATGTGTGTGTGTGTGTGTGTGTAGTCAGACACTCCTTCAGTTTCAGTTATTCAAACATGCAAATATTTTTCCACCTTCGGAATGAATCCATATTTTTTTTGAATAACAAGGAGAGCAAAAGAAATATGCAACAACATGTGCATTCTGATTTACATACTGTATATAATTCTGTGTTCACCCAGAGGCATTCCAGAACATTCTGTTTGATAAAGTAGGTGGTCTCACTGTCAGAGGCAGAAAGAGTCATTTTAACAGGGACAGAGAAACAGAAGGCAACCAGACTCACAGAGACCAGGTAATGGCAGATATTGCATTTTGCACCATTATACTTTTTAAGTACAGTTGTCCTATATTCTAACTCTACTAAGGTTCATACACCTGTGATAGCTTCATTTTTAAAGAATAATGCAAAATATTTTACTTTTAAAACATTTCTATTACTATATATGGAACTCTCTTTTTTGCATGGAGTTTGGAGTGCTTTGTTACTCTAAAGCAGTAGTGGCCAATCTTACCCAGAAAGGCAGGTGTGTATGCAGGCTTTCACTGCACCTCCCTAATTACATCATTAATTAGAGGACTGATTGGCTGAAGAGTCCTCACACCTGAGTTTGACCAGCTGACCTAAAGGTTTCCCAAAAACCTGCAGACATACTGGCCCTTTGGGGAATAGATTGGCCCCCTGCTCTAAATGTTATTCATGGCAAAAAAACTCTATGCAGTACTTGTAAGTACATTTTATATGAATTGTTTTTCCATCATATTTCTAATGTGATTCTAGAGTAATATAAGGTGGAGCAGGGTGAAACAATGCAACTGCTGATTGAGAAAAACAACAAGGACAGAATACAGTTTCTGGCAGAGTGTGGAAGGTTTGCTGCAGGGTGGTTTAATAGAGTTATGTGGAGTGATGGTTTCAGCTGAATGCATCACAACCAGAGTTAAACATGAGAGAAGATGGTCATGGTGTGTGAGCCTTTTCAGCTGCTCTTACTGCTGGTTCACTGTGAAAAGTCAATTAATGGCCATGAGAATTAATGCGCAATATTACAGAATGATTTGCTTCCCACAACTGAGAATGAGAAATGTTGCGAAGGTATTTTTCAACAAAACAGTGGTCATGTCCACACAGCAAAGACAGGGATTCAACTGTCTAATGTGGTCAGACTCCAGATTTAAACCCTATATAGTATATCTGGTCTCACATCAAATACAAACTAGTGGGAAACATTTTCCACTACTGATCAACTGTTTAAAGCCATCAGAACTGAGAGGAACCGTATTGACTGCACTTTCCGTGAAAGGTTGTCTGCAAGTTCACACACAAATATTAATGTTTGAGGAAATACAAGAAAAAGGTAATCTAAACTGTTACTTTATACATTAGTTTAATTTCTTGATCATTGATTTGATGTTCAGAGTAGATTTCTTGTATTTTGTGGCTTTGCCCATTTTTTATGCTGCCAAATGTACATAATATTCACTATAAGAAACAGGATTACATTATAACAATTATGGAACATTTTCAGGTGATGTCATTTAGGTCAGGGGGCAGGACGGATTATAGAGACATGTAGCATTTAGCAAGAAGGAGCCAGAGAAGCTGCTTTGTGAATACTGTACTTACTGGGACTTTACATGCATTAATGTAATGACAGGCATGGGGTGGCCAGAACAGACATTCAGTTATGATTCATAAAGCCAAGAAGCAGGTGATCAAAGGAGTGGGGGCTGCCACTGACCCTCTGTATGGTTATATCCTCCTGAGACCCAAGGAAAAAAAGTGTCCTTCAATCTTAGGTTACTTGTCTTTGGAGGAAATAAGACATCTTACAATTTAGATTTTTTCAAATTTATTTTTAATTTCACAGCATGTCCTCTTTAGTGTACAACAAGAATAAATATGTTTCCTTACATCATTGAAAAGATAGATGCAAAAACAAAATTTCCACTACAATGGACATAAATGAATGGGTGGGGTCTCAGGAGGATATTACTCCATATTCCTACTGTGCCTGTATGTCTATCAGCCTAATCGGAAGGTCTCTGGTTTGAGCCTGAGTGAGGCCCATAACCCCCAGATTCATGGGTGCTGCTGCAGGTGGTTGCCCTTCCCCACCAAGCTTGCTCTCACCTACGTGTATGTCACAGAGAGCAAGATGGGGTAGGTGAAAAGAGCAATAAAATCATCATCACTCAGCAGTATGCCTCTGTGTTTGAGTGACTGAGACTGCTTTTGGACCTGTGTCTGTGTATGGGTGTGTGACTATCTCTGTTTATGAGAAAGAACAACCTTAGTTAGGTTTTCTGGGTGACCATACAGCTTTTATTGTCATTATACTTACAACTACATTTCTTTTAAACTATGCAAATATTTTCATATTCTTAAATATTTTGCCAGTTTATGACTTATTGTAATTTGGGATTTGAAAGAGGCACTACACAAATAGCTTTGCATAATGTGTCTGTGTGTATGTGCTGAAATGAATATGAAATGATCAGTATCATAATCCATGTTTTATGCAGCCTGTTGGATCAGCATGATGGGTTGTAATGTGTTTCTTCTGTTGAAACTTCTACTGATTTCAGGTCAGTTTCTTTCATATTGTACTTATAAAATTCCTCACAAAAAGGGCCCACAAATTTACATATTGAAAAGTTTGTCATATCATATCGGTCGGTCTTTGATGTTTGTGGGACCTTTGTGTTACACCTGTGATAGATGCTAGACACATATCTACTAAATTTACATTTGGATTCAGACAAATCTGATTATTTACAGTTTGTATGTCTTTGATATTAATGTATATCCATCAGCCTGTCAGTTCAAAGATGGACTTGCAAAAGCCTTTCTTCATCTTGTCAGATCAGGTTTATATTTTTCTATTTGTGATCATGTGTATTTGTTTCTCTTTGCCTGTGTGACTTTTTTACAGAGTTTCACAGTCACTGTTCATGCCTTTCACATCAGTACCATTTTGTAAACATAAACCTGACCTGGACTGACGCCCAGGCTTACTGCAGACAGAACTACGCTGACTTGGCTACCATTGACAATATGGAGGAAATGAAAAGACTAACTGAGTCTATAGACACTGATTATACTGGAGAGGCTTGGATAGGACTGAAGAAAGGAACTTCATGGAGATGGCATTGGTCCTCAGCAGAAGGAGAGACTGGGTACATCAACTGGGATATAGGTCAACCAGACAACTGGGGTAATAATGAGCATTGTACTGAATTCAAAGACAATGGTGGATGGCATGATCTTTCCTGTTCATCATCGACTCAGTCATTGTATTTCTTCTGTTATACTGGTGAGTAACATTAACCAGCTCTTTTTTGACAAATGGAACATGCCTTTGAGAGTATACTATCCAGCCATAACTTACCGCATAGGAGCTTTGACAGGTAAAAAGGACTACAGTCTAAATGAGAATACATTCTCTTGTATTGCATGCATATAGGATCTGTCAAAAGGTTGAGTTGAAAAGAATTTTCGAAATAAGTGTTTGGGTTCTGCCGACATTTCTATAAGACAGCCTCACCAGTTAATGCACATATACGTATAGAGCTTAGGGGAATAAAAAAATGGTGAATGGGGCAGAACTGTCACCTGAGTGAGTATGATGGATGTCAATCACACCACCCCATTTAGTCCTAAGAAAAATAACAGTTATTGTGTATTTAATGGCATCATAATAATAATAATAATAATGGAATCAACATTTTCACATGAGCAGTTGGGTTGACTGTTTTATATATAAAAAGCATGTTGCTTTTCATTAAAACCATCAGCTAAGCATGTTGGAAGTAAATGATTTCTGGGTAAATGTTGTTTCTTATGCTGTTTACAACAAATCCACAGCTCCCACCTGTAAAGATGGAATAAATGCTACCTGGAACTTCACCTTGATTAATAAACAGATGAATTGGTTTGATGCTCAGAACTACTGCAGACACAGTTACACAGACCTGGCCACTGTGAGGAATGAAGAAGATAATAACTTGATACACAAAATGGTTACAAGTGGCACTTGGGCATGGATTGGCATGTTCCAGGACACATGGGAATGGTCAGACCTGTCAAACTCCTCATTCCGTAACTGGAAAAATGGCCAAAATGACAATAATAAAAACACATGTGCTTTAGCACAGGTCACCTGGCCTGGGACATGGGATATGACACCATGTGATGAAAAGCACCCATTCGTATGCTATGATGGTGAGTAATGTAACTTTACTACAGTGGCTGATTCTCACCTTTATCTAACAGCATTAATTTATATTACTTTAAAAATAAACTACACCTAAAGTTATATTTTAATGTTATAAGTAACACTGCACAGTTGCATTGTAGTTGCAGTAGTTTTTTCTTTACTGTTTTGTGAATTTCATTCCCTCTACCCTTCTGGTAATAAATTCCTTTCTCCAAATTTCCAAATGTCACATGACTTTCTCCTGAACCCACTTTCTGACAGTCATCTTACCTTCTGCCCCAGATAACCTGATCTTAGTAAACAGAACCATGACCTGGAATGAAGCCCTGAATTACTGCAGAACGCACCATTCAGACCTGGTGTCTGTCCACAATGAGGAGATCCAGTACTGGGTCAGTAGGAGGGCTGAGAAGGCCTCCACTGATCATGTCTGGCTGGGGCTGCGCTTCTCCTGCTACCTGAACCTGTTCTGGATCAGTGCAGAAAATGTTCGCTACCAGAACTGGGCCCCAAACAACATATTCAACAGTAACTTGTGTGGAACCACAGGGGCAGTACAATCTAAAGACCCACATTACTGGGTCAGCCTGCCTGAGACTAAGGAGCTCAACTTCATCTGCACCAAATATCCAAGTAAGGCTGATCCACGAACACAGTACCTGCAGAATAAGTACATGGAAAACTAGAGAGTTGCATTAGAAACTCGTTTGGTCTTCCCTTTGTTTTGCTTCTGCATTTCACTCCCTCTACCCTTCTCATAAGCTCTTTTTTTCCCCCCCAAACGTGACAGCAATTTGTTAATGATGTGGCATATAGAGTGATTCCCAAATAATGCACATCTTTCCATATGTAGGAAACTAATTTGTTTTCTAAAATCAATTTGTAAGGTGAAAATTTATCCCCTTTGTGGCAATAAGATAAAAGTAGCCTCTATTTTTCCTACTCGTTAAATACCATTCATTCAACCTTTTCACCACCCCAAAAGAAGAGGTAACATGCCAGACTACGCCACCTTGGGAATTTCACCCAAGGAAATAACTAATCCTCCTCTAACACAATAAGGCAACCAGGTTCGATATACACCCAGGCAAGAGATGTGATACCACTTAACATAACATTTTTATTATACACTCTGAAAACACAATTGCTTCGTCCCAATGACCCCAAATAGGAGCTAGGGGCCAGATAGAATAGACGGAATAGAATAGAAGGTCAAGACGTAAAGGCTCTGTAAAACAAAAGAACCAGGCGAAATGCACTCCAATATCCAAAACAAACCCACACAGCTCACACGCAAATCGCCACCCCCGATACGTACAGTAACCCCACATGCTAAAACTCCCATATGATTAAAGAGAAACAAGAAAAAAGACTTCACATCACACAAAACAAACACCAATGCACCTAACATGTTTTGAACATTAAATACAAAACACAAAGAAAACAAACATGAAAGCAAAACATACGGGTCCAACAAAGCAGCAGCGGTCCTACAAAGTCCCCGCGATGGTCTTACAGCCGTTAAATCATCCAGACAACATCTATTAGAAAAGTAAATACAGTTCGTGCTACAGCCAAGAAAGAGAGCAAAACCGATAACTTAGTCAGGCATACATACCACTCAGGCAGTGCCTTCAATCACACGCAAGAGAGGAAGCGAAACACCATACCGGCGTCACACTGGAAAAGAGACCGTCCTGCGACGAAGCGGCGGGCACTCTGCCTTCAGAGTTACTGCATGGCGCCGCTATCGAAGGCAAACAATCGAAGGCAAACAATCAACGGCAAAACGTAGCCGATAGGAAGCAAAGCGGGCAGTATCAACGCCAAAAAGTCTGGAAATGCCCCATGCTGGGCACCAAAGCCTTATATAAGATGCCCTCAAGTGGATAATTGATTAACAGACTGAGCATGCAGCACACCCAGACAAATCAAAGCACCTCCACCTGCTACACATTCATCCTTTTTCTATACATGCTTGTTCTATGCTGGTGCGCAGGGGTACGATACCGATCCTGAAAGCTCTGCACTGTAAAAAAAAAATGTACAGCCTACTCAAAAATTCAAGGCAACATGCTGCAATACATTTTTGAGTTAAGTCAACTCAGTTACAAAAGTTCAACAAACCTATAGACCAGGGGTACCCAATCTTATCCGCAATGGGCCGGTGTGTATGCAGGTTTTTGGGATAACCTGTAGGTCAGCTGTTCAACCCCAGGTGTGAAGACTCTTTCAGCCAATCAGTCCTCTAATTAGTAATCTAATTAGGGAGTTGCAGCGAAAACACGCATACACACCGGCCCTTTGCGGATAAGATTGCGTACCCCTGCTATAGACTAAGGTTCAGCTGACTTTGACTTAAAAGTTAAGGCAACACTGAAATACAAGTTAGATTAACCTAGGTACAAAGTTTCAATAAACTTAGATTGTTAAATTGTCAACACTATTTTGCAAGTTCTGTTAACATAGGTACAGAGGTTTAGTCAACTTTGTTTGAGGAGTCAAATTAAATTTAAATAAACCTGCCTTGTTTAGGTGACATTTTAAGAGTTAATGTTTTCATTAACTTTTTTAAATAGCAAAATTCAACTGTAATATTTCAAGTTGCTTTGTTTAGAGTACTAAAAAACTTATATTACCATTTGAACCTACAGAAAAAAATGTCACAAGGGTGTAGCTGGTTTGACCTAAAATTTTCATGTAGGATTGATGTATTACTTTCTGTAATGTGTTCAACTTCAGTTTTTTTAGCTGCCCCATTTTAATATACGCACAAGAAGTCATGAGGATCAGAAGAGCCATCCCAGATTTACCCACCGTCATGAGAAAGACTCTGACCAAAAAGGACCTTACAGCTTTTTCTTGTTTGATATTGAAGTGCTGTTGGCTAAGTTCTGACTGATCTTGCAGATTAGAGCACTGTGGTCCTGTTATATATTTTTATGTTATAGCACTGGTTCTGCGCTTGAATGATTAACATATGTGGAAAGGTGTCCGGACAGTTATGATACCATTTTCTGTGAAGCTCCCAGTACTGCCCACTCCCCTGTAGACCAATGGTGCTGGATGTATATGTGCATAGCATGATACAGTACTGTTTTTGACTTAACAGATTTTTTTTTAATCCGTGAGTGTGATTAATAGGACAAGAGAAAAAAAACCACAGAAATGGCTTTTGTGTGTTTGCCAGTGACTAGGTGAGATGGAGTATTCTCTATGGTTTAGAGAAGGCATCAGAAAATGCCATGGAAGGTGAACTGCTTTGCTTCTGCTCTCAGCCGAGACTGTCTAGGTCTAGGAAATGCATCCAGACCCTTTGTACCTCTATAATTGATAAATTGACTTTAACAGAAAGCACTGTAAAACATAATAATAAGATTACTTTAGGGATGCATAGATATAAGAATTACACTACTCAAACCAATTACTGTAGCATACATCAACCCAGAAAATCTAGTAATTAAATGTGGTAAAGACTAATATTAGTGCCATACCATCCGCAATCGTGGTGCGTTTCTAAAAATAAAGCTTAATTAAAATCTGAATATTAAATGAGCAAAATGATTTGATTTGTTCTTCCATCCCCAGTTGTGGTTTAAAGACAAAAGGTACTTTTTCTGGCCACTGTATCTTGTTTATAGCTATTTATGCAAGGATGCAACAATGCGTTGTAATAAAGTGGACTGTTGCAGTAAACTGGCTTTTGGGTTATTTAGTTGTTTCAAATTATATTCATTAGTTGAGCATGAGCAGTTTTATTGGTTTTAAGTGCAAAAATCTAATGTATTCGATTGACTTCCCTAAAGTAATCTTATTATTATGTTTTACAGTTGAACTGACTTGAAAAAAATTACATTAACCAAATTTGAAAAAAGTTTGAAAAAATGAAGTAATATTTTAAGTTGATCCAATGTTTCCTTTTTAGCCTGTAGGTTCTAATGGTAATACGTTTTTAGTACTCTAAACAAGGCAACTTGAAATATTACAGTTGAATCTTGCTATTTAAAAAAGTTAATGAAAACATTAACTCTTAAAATGTCACCGAAACAAGGCAGGTTTATTTAAATTTAATTTGACTCCTCAAACAATTTGACTAAACCTCTGTACCTATGTTAATCGAACTTGCCAAATAGTGTTGACAATTTAACAATCTAAGTTTATTGAAACTTTGTACCTAGGTTAGTCTAACTTGTATTTCAGTGTTGCCTTAACTCTTAAGTCAAAGTTAGCTGAACCTCTGTCTATAGTTTTGTTGACCTTTTGTAACTGAGTTGACTTAACTCAAAAATGTATTGCAGCATGTTGCCTTGAATTTTTGAGTTGGCTGAACATTTTTTTTTTTTACAGTGTGGGTACCTGCGAGGTATAAACCCATATCAGGGTGTAACAAATCATGATACATGTGATATGTGTTATATAGAGTGATTTGATTATATTTAGATTTAAAGAACTACAAACTGTTTTTTAAAAAGGTGATAGCCGAAGAGAGTGATGATTGTACAGGGAATGTTCATCTTTCCACATTTTAAGCAAAAAAGCTTCGATAACCAAAATTGGCATTCAGAAATAGAAAAAAAATGTTTCAGGTTTAGGTAAGCAAATATTAAGTCACCAGATATCTCTATGAACATGTGTATCTGTGTGGTTTAACTTTTTGAAAATAATTGATACAGTACATTTTGCTAATGATTAATGTTTAAATGAATGCATGTATTTAAAAATGACAATTTGTAATTTGATTACAAAGTTGGATGGAACTGGATGTGTCCAAGTGTGCTGACTTCTTCTGTTGCTCAGTTCTTACAGGAAAGAGAACAGTGGTGAGACTGACTGTCAGAACTGATGGAAAAGTAAAGGATCCTGCATTCAGCAGCCTTCTGTTAATGCAGGTCAGTTCATTTCTCTTGTGGGGCTACACAGACAAAGACACAAATTGCCAATGGAGGCACAAGGAGATATTCTGTTGTGTTATTATCTAGTTAAAGGAGAAACTGATCAGCGCAGGCATGTCAGAAGGCACCAAACTATCCTGGAGGACTCAACCTGATGGCCAAATCTTCCATCTAAAGACTAAAGAGCATAAATGACAAGGTAACAGGTTTGTAACATCTAATAACTGAAGGTATAAGTAAATACATCTTCAGTATTGTTGTAATTATTATTCCACTGCGAGCAGTTTGTGTGACATAGTATATTGTATTACATTCATTTAGTAGATTTTGTCAAAAGAGTCATACAGTGAGGTAGATCATTCCTAAGGCTTGTGTCTACATTATGTAATAAGCAATCAGTTTACAGGAGAGGTAACAGAATGGTGTATCTGTGTGTTTTCCCATTCCAGGGGCATGTGAATGTGGAAAAGATGAATCCTCAGTGTGTCTGAAATCACAGAGGGATCTGAGGACCAGAGCAGCCCAATATGCATTCATTTGCACATAACGCAAAGAAATGTTAGCTTTCTAGTGAATTCATGATAATACAAGTGATTTTCAATCCTTCTGCATCTACATAAGATAAACATTAATTTGTGCTGATCCTGAAACAGATAATTGCTAACTGCATTTCAGGCCTCACAGTGCTCACTGCTTTCCTTGGTGTGATTCTGTTTGAATGTTCTTCTGCTATTTGCATGGGTCTCCGTTGGCTACACAAGATACCCTCCACAACTGCTGATAAAAATATTTAATAACATACAGTAAATTACAAATTATAGCATAGGTGTGTTGAGTGTTGTGTTTCTAAGGCATGTATTCAACCTTAGTGAGGAGTCAATAAAAAGTCTTATGGGCTTTGGGCTCATTAATGTAGCAGGTTGTAAAATTCATAATGACTGTATAAATGATTACATTCTTACACAGACATCAATAAGTGCCATGGACACACACAATAACACAAACCATCTATCCCAGAAGCATTGCAGGGAATAACTCAGACTGAGTCCCCACCCCCTCACAGGACACACGGACGGACACACACACACATTTATGGGAAATTTTGGCAGCTCTAATTCACCTAAACATGTTTTGGGGACTGAAAGGAAAACTGGGGAACACAGAGAAAACCCCATAATGATAACTTAAGAACAGGGTGGAGACTCAAACCCTGAGGTGGGAGGCAACAGTATTAATCACGGTGCCATTGTGCCACCCATAATGCAACACAACATCAAAGCTTACATTAACCATCCTGCTACACTCTCATTTGCTCTAATAATTTCAGTGGTTGTTGGGTTGTGTGACAAACACATATTAGTTGTTGATTCCAGGGGGGTATTCCATGAAATTAGCTAAAAAAAAAAAAAAAAAGGCAGACTTCCCCGAAAAAGTCAGATCTCCATCTCTAAACTTAGCCTCACGTCGTTCCACGAACGCAGTTCAGTGTTAATTAATCAAGGTTCATTCAAGACAGACTTGCATAGTCTCACTTAGTGCGCACACCCGCGATATTTAAGAAGTCCAAATAAATGGATGAACGATAGATCGACCAAATGAGTTGGAAAGCCTGTAAAACGAGAGCGGTACGTGTTTCATTCTGCCGCAGAATAAACACTGCTGATGGAGTTGTATGACATACAGTACACAAAGATGTAATCGTTAAAAAACGCAATACTGTGGCCATAAATTATATATGGGGCGATGGTGGTGCTACCGTTCGGCAACCGGAGGATTGCAGGTTCGAGCCCCGGGTCCTCCTGACTCCATCGAAGTGTCCTTGAGCAAGACACTGAACCCCAAATTGCTCCCGATGAGCTGGTTGGCGCCTTGCATGGCAGCCTCCGCCACCGGTGTGTGAATGTGAGTGTGGATGGGTGAATGTGAGGCATAACTGTAAAGCGCTTTGGTACTCGTAAGAGTAGTAAAAAGCGCTATATAAATGCAGTCCATTTACCATTTACCATAAACACAGCCAGGGAGTTGGCTTGGCAATGAATTGCAGACAGACTAAATGCATAATTAAGTTACGTAAATGTGGTTTATGCTGTCACCTAGCTTATAATGCGAAAGTTGCTGGATCGATCCCCATAGCCAACGGGGAACCTTCTGGGTTGATTTCACCTGTCATTATTACTATATAATATTATTTGATCTCCGTAAAATACTTTAAATCACATCCGGTTGAAATGTTCTGCACGTATGTTGTCTTTGCTATTTTAGTAGTAATTAAACTATCAAAGTAGACAGTGACTAAAAATATAAAGATATCTTCCTGTTCATATTATTTTAACGGATTTTTTTTCCAATTATAGTTATTGCATTTAATGTTTCACCTTTGTAATATGCGTAAGCTTTTATTTTACATTAAAATACCATTATAACGGACATCAAAATAAATAAAAAAAATTGCCGATGTCCATGATGCCACCCTGGGCAACGGCCCATGTCGCCCCTATTCAAAAACCACCACTGATTATTATGTAATATTAGTAAAACTTTGCTTTGCCGAAATGGATGATTTATCATTGATAGGTAACCAGAGAAATAACACTAGTGAAATTAACATCTCTCTCTCTCTCTCTCTCTCTCTCTCTCTGTGTTTCCACTTTCACTTCAAGGTGGGAATTGTCATCCCAAAATGAATCCCTGAGTAGTGAAAGAGCATATAATTTTTTTTAACAACTTCCTTGTAGCCTGCTGTGCTTTATTTTAATTTTTGAAATCACACAATGTGCACATATATCCTCTGGTATGTCATGTGCTTTCGCATATCGTATAAATAATCATAGTGGGCCGCCATGACCAAAAAATGCCAGGGCCATTTTCTGGTCCCAGTCCAGACCTGATTGAAGGCATCAATATGTCCCAGAAGTGCTGCCATTCTTGCAGTGGTAGTCTCTCTTTAAACGTCTAGGGGCACAATGGTCACGCTCTTCCTCTGACGGCAAATGTGGAATCCCATCCTCATCACCAATTTGTTATATACTCTCTATATAACTTACAGTAATGCACATATCAACATCAATATGTTAGCTCTTACAAACACATAGTTGCCGTACTTCTTGACTGGTATATTCGTAAACCAGTTGGCAACACATTTCGGCATAGGGTAGTGTCCCCTACCGGTGTGGAGTAGTAAACAAAAAATTGCCAATACATCACATATGTGATGACAGCTGAAGTTGAAACTTGCTTGGCTTATCATTGGAGGGAAACATGCAATACTGTGAAATTAGATTGGTCCCTCTACAAACCGTGGAGCTCTTTTAGTTTTGCAGTTCTGCAACTTCACCTCTATCTGGTCATCTGGCTCACCGGGCATTTTCCCGGTGGGCCAATGGGTTTGTGAGACAACAAAAATTTAAGGCGGGTGACACCCCCTTCTCACTGCAGGGATGTACATGTGGTGGGTCTGTATGGGCAGAAGTCTAGATTCTATTTTTAATCCCAGTCCAGCCCTGCTTAGCACCAATTACATTTCCTTTGCCTAACTGATATATTGCCATAATCACTGTCACGCCCACACGGGCGGGACCGAGCGGGAGCACGGCAGTACGCCTAATTAGGGGCTGTACAAAGGACACCAGTGTTCTAGGGCACGTCGCGAAGCATTTTGCCAAATGAGTTTGAGCCATGCCAAGCGTTTTGCCGTCTTTTGTCTGCCCGCTTTTCCTAACCTAATCCATCTGCCTGGTGTAAAGCCCTCACCCTGCTTCCTTTCCCTCTCCAGCCCAGCTCCAGTGCCTGACCCGCTTCCTTTGCCAAGCCCTGCTCGTCCCGTATTCCCTTCCCAGTGTGATCGTGTGCTGTACTTACCTGTCGGACGGATTTCCTGGCTTCTGACCCTCGCGCCCATTCATCGACCTTGCCTTTGGATCACCCTTGTCTCTACCTTTGCTAGAGCGCTGCCAATAAAGCCAGCAGTACCCCGCATTCCTGGATCTGTGTTTATCTGTTCGGGCGAACGCCATAATCACTATACTAAAATGTTTTAAATGTGAAATGAATCACAGTGTGGTGGTACAGTGGTTAGTGGTTTTACTTATCTGTCTGGGACCAAGGTTTGAGTCTCCACCTCAGCTCTATGTGTGTAGAGGTTGTATGTTTTCCCTGTATCATATTGGGGTTTCCTCCGGGATCTCCAATGTCTCTCCTCAGTCCAAAACATGAGAAGGTGAATTGCAGTTGCAAAATTGCCTGTGTGTGTATGTGCCTTGTTATGGCTTGGCCTCCCATCCTGGGTTATTCCCTGCCTTGTGTCTTTAGCTTCTGGGATAGACAATGGACCCCAGTAGCTCTGCAAAGGGCAGGAGGGTGTGGAAAATGGATGGAGAACCTGCAGCCTTAAATAAACCTTCTGTAAACCAAAAGCTCTGCTGAGAACAAGAACCTCACTGGTGCCTGAAACATTAATAAAACATTCAAGTCAGAGTCTGAACACCTATTCTTCTGCAACAAAGTCCTTGCATTTTATAAATAATATGAGGTAGATCTTAGAAAATTAGTTTGTCCATAAACATTTATTATAAATGAATACATTTAGCACCGCAATAGAGAGGAAATACTTTTGTGCTTTTTATTTTTATTTCTTGACTTGTCAGTATAAAATAAGACAGAACAGGGTAAAATTAGCTTTCCATCTTACAGTACATTGAACAAAAAGTGTTTTAAATTCTTCCTTAACCTATAATCTCCTTCACTTTCAGTTAGTCAAGCATGCAAATATTTTTCCATCTCCTGAAAGAACCAGAAAGCAGAACAAAGCGAGCAGAACAAATATGCATATTCTGTGTTATATACATAGCTCTGTATACGCCCAGAGGGATTCCAGAACATTCTGTTGTTATAGTAGATACTGTCACTGTCAGAGACACAATCATTTTAACAGGGACCGAAAAACTCACAGAGACCAGGTAACGGCATTTATTGGCATTTTTAACAATAATATTTTAAGC